ACACACACAGACACACAGTGTATGAAAAATTTGTCTTGGAACCAACAGAGTAGGAACACAAAGGAATAGGAAGAGGGAATGCCAATCTGGAAAATTTATGGAAACAATGGGGGGAGCGAGAGAGAGAGAATGTACACACACATGTCAGAGAAAGCATGAAATCTTCCAGGATAACATTTCAATTCTCAAGAAGGGTGTGTGTGTGTGTGTTTTTTACATGTGGCACTGGTGACTGGTGTATGTGTGTGCAAATAGGCCTACATTTGTGAAATTCCACTCCATGATAAACCTACTTAACACAAAGGGACCTGATGTGTCCTGCTGCAAAACAGGGTCACCAGTCGTGCAGGCAAGTGTGTGCGTGTGTGTGAGAGGTCACACCTTCAGCTGCTGAAGTCTCAGTCTCTCATCCTCAATCTCTCTCCTGGCTCGCTCCTGTTCCTCCTGGATCCGACGTTTCTCCTGAAAGCAGAAAATATCACAGACTTGAAGTATAGTTAAAACACCTTTTCAGAATGTTCACACACAACCTAACATGTTCCTTCCACGCACTTTGCTTTAATGCAGCTTCCAGCTGGCTTGATACTTCAAATCTCAACTTCTTCTGCACTCTTCAGTCTGTCACATTGACAGATAAAGTCTTCAACACTGATAATATTTGATATTAGAATGATTTCTGAAGGATCACGTGACACTGAAGACTGGAGTAATAGCAGCTGAAAATTCAACTTTGCCATCACAGGAATAACAGTCTTAATTTTACGGTACTTTTAAACCCCAGTTATACAGAGAAATAAACCTTGCATGAGTTATTTAAAATAGCTAAATAGTTTTATACATCCATCATACATACAGTCGATTATAGTGGAATAAGGGATTTGTGGAATCGTGAAATTATTATACTTTTTAAGAAATTTGCACTTTTGCAAAAGTGCAATTTTATAAAAGTTACAGTAAACACATTTATAATGTTACAAATGACTTGCGATTTCATGAATGCTGTATAGCAATGACAGCTGTATAAACGGTACTTTTAAACCCCAGTTATACAGAGAAATAAACCTTGCATGAGTTATTTAAAATAGCTAAATAGTTTTATACATCCATCATACATACAGGCGATTATAGTGGAATAAGGGATTTGTGGAATCGTGAAATTATTATACTTTTTAAGAAATTTGCACTTTTGCAAAAGTGCAATTTTATAAAAGTTACAGTAAACACATTTATAATGTTACAAATGACTTGCGATTTCATGAATGCTGTATAGCAATGACAGCTGTAAAGACTTTTTGCATACTAGGAGTCAGTTTATGTTGATATTGAGGTGAAATTTCATCTTGCGCTTTGTTATTGGCTTGTAGCACTTCTCATAAAGTGCTTTCACAGAACAGCTTACTGAGTATTATGGATAGATGAGTCTAAGTTTCTCTTTCTAAGCATGTACCAGCAAATCTTTATGTTCTGAGTGTTCTGATAACGCTAGAGTTTAGTGTGTACTTCTCAGTGAAGCTTCTACTGTAGCTGACTGTGATATATCCTTGTCTTGTTGACGTCCACTTTTTTCTTTCTATTCTGTTTAGATCCTGTTTTTTTTCTTTCAAGATAGTAGTGCATGGAATAAAACAACAGTGTATTTGCATGTGAAAAATTGGCCATTTCTAAAACCAAACTTTGACTTGAAAGTGTACAGTGACTTTAAAGAAATTCACAGTACTTTTCAAAAGTTTGGGGTCAGTACAATTTTTAAAAGATTTTTTTTTTAATTAAACCATACACTCTAAAACATGCTGGGTTGTTTCAACCCAACTTTGGGTCAAATATGGACTAACCCAACCGTTGGGTTACATTTTTACATTAAATTTAAAGTTGGGTTAGTCCATATTTGACCCAAAGTTGGGTTGAAGCAACCCAGCATTTTTTAGAGTGTAGCTTAAAAATAAAAGCAAATAGCTTTTATTCAGCAAGGACACATGATCAATAGTGTCAGTAAAGACTTTCAAAATTTATAATATATAAAAAAAAAAGTTTCTTCAGCAGCAAATCAATGTATTTGAATGATTTCTGAAGGATCATGTGACACTAATGATGCTGAAAATTCAGCTTTGCATTAAAGGACTAAATTGCAATACATTTTAAAATGTATTAAAATAGAAAAGGATTATAGTAATGTTTCTCACACTACTATTTTTACTGTATTTGTGATGAGTAAATGTAACTTTGGTGAGCAGATATGAATAACAGATTTAAACCAGCTTAGTATTGTTACAATGTCAGTAGTATAAGTAAATGGACAATGTACCAAGATATCCCTATACATTTGTCAGCAAAAGTCCACCAGATGATGTAAAACACATCATCCAGCATGCTTTTGACAGTGCCAGCCTGCCAGGGTTTTCATAAAACCTACAGATCGTACTTCCGCATTTTTTTTATCTCCACTCACAGATAGTCTGGATCAAGCCCAGTGCATTGTGGGTGTTGGAGATTTCCTACCTTTTTCACCACAGCCCTATTTTTCCTGTTTTCTCTGGTCATGGATCATGCCAGGTGCATGTTTCTACTGCACAGACAGCCAACTTTTATTAAAACCCAATGTTGCCAGCAGTAAATTAACGCTTTAACTGATTATTTTTTTTCTGGGCATTTATACCAGTTCATGCATTTCCTAGAATTCAAATGCATATATTTAATATTTTATATATATTATATATTGACTGAGCAAATATGAAATGTTTTCAGTAAGATATTTCATCATCCTCAAAGCTGTCTTACAGGCCTGAAGCACTAACGGAGAAAACGGTTCAACACAAGAATTTCACTTTCAGCTCTCAGCGCTGTGAACAGAAGCTGTGTGTTCCCTTCAGGTCACGTTAGACTCGGCATACATGAACACACACAGATCGAGTCGTTTGATCCTTGTTGATGTTCGTACCTTGAACACCATGCATGAGAGAGTCTGTTTCTTGGGGAGGGAAAAAATATGGGTGTGTATAATAAATATATGGAAGTGCAAAAGCTAAACAGAAGTTTGAGTTTGTGCCAACGAATACAGCCGGACAAGTAAATACAAGAAGATTAAACAAAACGCTCCTCTTTTCTTTCTGACTGGCTTGTTGCGGAGCTTGTTTTGACACAGGTTGTGGAGACCTCCGGGTTTTTATGGCAGGGAATCACAGGACTTATAAACTCTATGTCAAATGAGGCCTTGACTGTGACAAAGAACCTTCCTGTGTCTCTCATGCGCTTTGCGAGTGGGGAGAGATATGCTTTTACCAAGAATGAAAGTGTTTACTCCTCTTCTTCCCCAAGGCTGATGGGTAACTTCCAAACTGCCGCGAGGGGAACAGGCTGTCTCATCAGAGTTCTGGAGACAAACTTTGCCGAGAATAGCACAGAGGAATAAACAAAAACGAGCCTTTGATGATTCACTCTCTTCAGGTCTCAACAGAAAGTTCAATGCTAATTAAAATGTGGAGCTATGCGTATCCGTCAGGCACAAATAAAAAGAAAAGGAAAAGAGAGAATTAATGACGAAAAGAGAGAAAAAAATGCAACGGAACAGGCGAGAAACAATGGGCTTCTCTGCTTTCTCATTCACACCCGTCATCAGGTGTGTCCACCCAAGCTGTTGCTATGGCAACGGACTGCCATCTGCACAGGTACAATGACACCAACACCCATTTAATTACTGTTGTGACCTGGAAACTCATCCCGGAGGGCTAAATTATATTACGATTATATAATATGACAAACACTTCATATTTTAGAATGCTGCTCAGATATATGCTGCAAACATAAGCCTTATGCATTTATGTTGTGTTTTAGAGGACAACAAAATGCATTGAATTATGAGCAAATTTGCACAAGATATTATTATTTGAGAAAATATCTTGAATTATTGTCTTACCCCAGTGGCAAACAGATCATGTTTTAAGCATAAACCTCACAAGATTTTGATATATATTTATATTAATGGGGGGGACTGGATATATCTTAATATCTTAGGGGCTGTTTACACGACACCATTTTCAACCATTTTCAACTAAAAACAGAAAACTTTTTATACTTGGGATTTCATTTGCACAACAAGTGCAATTTGGGAACCTAAAAACACAAACTTTTGAAAAATGGGTGAAAGTTTTTGAAAATTATACCGTTATCGTCTCTGTGTAAACTCTCAAAATGATTATTTGTGAAATTGGTGACGTCATGTGCATGAGTATTACTTCTTTGTGAAATTTTCTTTTTACAAAGTGACATCGCCAACTACTGGCCTGGCATGCATAATACAGCGTTTTTAGTCATTTTCATGGATCCGTGTGAATGGGGATCGTTTTGACAATGTTGTCAAAATTAAAATCAAAGCACACTTTTGTAGTTTTTTTAGCAAACATATCCTGTTTTAAGGATGTCTATTTACGAACCAGGCTATAAATAATGGATATAAATAGTGATTTAAAAAAAAAATGAGTTTGCACTGTGAAGGCTAGAACAAAAATGAATTTTTTCCCAGCATGTTTATAACATAATTTTAATTATTTTGTAGTTTTAATTTTATTTTTGTTTTATAGGGTGACTTTCCGTCCAGGGGAACTATAGCTGAAAACTAGCTTTTGTCTAAATCTGGCACATATACAGTAATGTTTATTAATGTGCACTGTCCCTGCAAAACACTAATAAATAAAAAAAAAATAAAAAAAATTTACAGTTAAAATGTGTTTAAAACAAGGTAAATAAAGTGGGAAAAACTGCGAGTGCATTAAGAGAAAATATACTTGTGTTAAAAATGCACTCTATAAAATTCTTAATTCTTAACATCTTATGAAGAGTTGCTTCTCAAAAAATGTATCTTGTTTTAAAGATTTTTACCGGAAACCAAGTAACAAAATAAAACAACAACAACAAAAGACTAATTAAGGAGTCATTTTTGCTGTGCGTGGGTGTGCAAAAACTACTAACTAGAAACTCATGACTGTAGACTTCAAAGGAAGTCATGTCGCAGAGCACTTGTAAATACAGCATTGAGCAGAGATGACATGGTTTTAGGTTAAATATGTGTGCTGGGGCCAGTCAGACTGAATGTATATTTACCCTGCTGGAGACCAGGCCTGAGTGACTGACATACCCCACTGGAAACCGTGAGAGATGAATTGATCCTCAAGGGGAAGGGGATCATGGAAACTCAGATGAAACACTCAATCACTTTCAGATGCACACACACACAAACCTTCCACCGCTAATATTCACAATTTTCAACCGTTTACATGAGGGAAGGCTGCAAATGTAGCAGAAAATATAATAATGGCTCTTTCATCATATCCTTACCGTCGTAATCTACACTACCCATCCTCTGAATTATGCACATTCATGAGAAACCACACTAAATCCTGAGGAAACAAAGCGAGTCAGCACTGTCTTTGTGTATTTTCTCTAAATACTCTCCCATTCTCAAGCCTGGCTCAATGTCAGCTTCACATTTTAGAAAGAAGTTGTTGAGAAATTAACAAAGCTTTAATATACCTCCTCGCTACCACAATCACTCACACTTCCACATGTTTGCCAGGGCAGTGCTGTGCAGTTGCTAAGGTGTCGAGAGTGGTTGTGAGCTCATTACTATGTGGTTGCTAGGGT